AAGTTCCCCCTAACAATGTTATCTCAGGAGATTCATCGAAACCAAGTTTCTCTTCGTATCTACAACTTGAGTCAATTTCTTCTTTCTGTTCTTCCATATTCATGCATTTATAATTATTCTTGTAGGAATAATTTTTGGCATTATTTATTCTTGCCGAATACTTTTACTTATACACTGGAGATGCCCTTGTATCTACCTATACATTATTTTGTGGAGCCTTTTTTAGCTACCTGCCTTAGCCCAGTTAAACTATTCGTATTCAATTCTTCATGTTTATCTAGATGTCTAAATTCCTAAACGCACATATGTTTCGCAAGTTTTTCTATACTTTTATGTGCGCCTGCCTTCCTATGATTTTGTTTGAGTAGCCATCCACATAATCTTTTGTCTACTTTTATCTACTTGTTTCTACTGAGTCATCCGTCCATTCGTTTTTATATCTCTATGTTTATTAACTAGTCCTTAAAAAATCGAATAAAATTTTATTTTCCTTTATTTACTTATGCCTTCTTCCATCCTTAATCCCGATCATTTAGCGCAAAATAGACTTGAATCCAATATCAAAGTATACCTTTCTCTTCGAGATATCCGAACTATTTATAATACCAGTAACTTTCTCTCTCCATGAATAATTTGACTTAAGTACCTGTTCACCTAGCCGCTAGCTAGTTTGGCATTCATTCTACTTTTGTGCTCTCATACTTTTTCAAACCCTCCTCAAGAGTACTATTTAATTGTGTCTTTTGAGGCAATTCGTTCAAAGATCATTTGCCAGCTAGCCTGCTTAGCCTCCGCAGTTCCAAATTCAACCTGAATAATGACAAAATTCTTGCAGCCAAGTGTAGAAAAATTATTGGCACCCTTACAACTATTTCATCAAAAGGATTTAACTAACGGATTTTCGCCAAGGCATCTGAAGCGCCCAAAGTGCAGCAATATATTCTACATAACTAGTTTTACCGGGCTTTTCCGTAAGCTCCTCTTCTATGCTGGATTCTATAGTATGCTTTGTCTTCTATTTTTATCCTATATAAATCTTCTCCTTTATTTTCATGTGAAGCGCGATTACCCCACTAGAACAAGCAATCATAATCTTTTGGGTTCTAATCCAGGACTGGGAATTGTGCCTAATCCTGATAGGCTCTCTAGTCTTTTGCACATCCGCACATCTAATTTCTTCACCTATTCCGCTCTCACAGATGAAATGACCAGCTTCCTATCCTACTACATATTTCATATGCAAGGTGGTATGTATGAGAAGTGTTCACGCTCTTTATCCTCAATGAATACCAGGCGTCCTTGCTTCTTTGACCTCTCAGTAGGTGGTCCATGCAACCTAAAAGATGGTTTTGGTTACTACAAGAGTCAGCCTTGTCTTGCAGTGAAGTTAAACAAAATATATGGTTGGCTACCTGATCCACTGGAAAATGTGACTGGGATCATGGTAAAGTGCCAAGGGGCCAGCAAGACGGATGAGCTATTACTTGGCGACATTTGTTATTACGACACTCGAAATATAGACTTTCCACCTAGTAACGATGTAAATTCCGGCGGATTAAATGCGGCATATTCTCAAGCTGACTATTTTACAAAGCTTAATCCTCTGTGCCAACGAGACTATGGCCTTATTGAGGCCTACTTTTATCCTTTTATGAACCAGGCAAACTATCACCAGCCCCTAGTGTTTGTACAGTTCATGCGCCCAAAACGACATGTTGCTATTCGCGTCGCCTGTGTTGCACTAGCGCGAAATATCCAAGTGGACTTGCCAAAACGCCAGGGCTCTGTGGCGTTTGAACTGCTCGTTGACTAAGAAAAATCAAAGAACTGCTTTCTAAATAGCTTTCACATATTATGATTTACCTTAAATTTTTTATTACGCCCTTAAAACCTGTTAGTTCATATGAATCTCCTTCATACAAAATAGCCTATTCAAAGATTCATATAATCCAACTCCTTTCAAGCTGGCTTATATTGTTTTAAAGAGACAACACATTTACCTATTTCACTGTCAACTTATTGTTATGTTTATTTACAAACCTAAATTTAATTTGAATTTAAGTTTGCAGCTAATTAGATTTTTTGCCCATTTTTACTGTTTTATGGTTTTGGAAATATGCAAACTAAAGGGGGTATCAAATCAGTGAGAGGTAGCACCTTTTATTGCTTAGATTTAAAAGTAGAATAAAAGATTATATCGAAAAAATATTAGTATAAGTCTCATAGAGGGTTCTCATAATTTTTTGTGCTATTGACTTTTTCCTTTAAAAGTAATAATCAATCTGCTTTTGTTAGTTTTACTCAGAAATCTAGACAAATAGTTCAAAATTAAGATTAAATGAATGATTAAGATAATATTTAATTGATGAGGAGGCCTTCATTTCGTATGAAAGTGCGTAAAGAAGGGATTCTTGCTTGATCCCACCAAAAGACGACGGATTAATCCCGTTGTACTGCGGCCGTTTGGTTTTGATAAGACGTTCAGGTTGACGCGCTCCACGAGACAACTTCCCTCGCTTCGGGTGAAAGGGGCTGAGCTTTCGTCCATCATATGAGGGACATCATCAAAGCTGGAACTTATTCTTGTAATAGTCTCATGGTAACGCTAGGCCAAGAAGACTATCCGGCTCTATCTTACCTCTTATATATACTCATAACTAAATAGAGAAAATGAATAGGCATAAATAGATATAGGATGATTTGGCTAATTATCTTTCACACTGGTCTTGCTAGTTTTACTAGAATGTGTGCATGTTTTCGTGCGTGTGTGCGTGCTAAGGTTTATGCGTAATACCGGTCCTAAATCAGAGTGATCCAAAAGGCCAATGTCAGTCTCTGGTCGTTAGAGCTTAGTGACCCAAAGAAGCCCTGACCGGGGGTAAGTAAGTCCGTAAGAAAGTATGTTTGAGATAATGAGATGTATGCTTGTAAGCGTGATTTCAGGTTACGAAAATACTAGCCCTAACCTCCCAGTCTAGGGTCATTAAGGTTTAACTACCCAAAGAAAGGCCTGACTGGGGCTGCGTAATCTGGTATGTCTGGTTTGGTTGATGAACCTAATCTAACATCAAAGGTATGAAAACCAAGATGGTGTGGCCTTTGCATGGTCGTAGTCTCGTTCCGTAGTATATAAGTTGTTTGACCTTGTTTTCGCAACTTGGTCATATTGGCAGTAAGACCTAGAGTGAGGGTGGTGTATACGTGCTATCAAAGGCTTTAGGCAGAGTGTAGAAAAACACCTTGAAAGTGATGGCACTGATGGAGTGAAATAACTGAAGCAGGCAGATAAGGGAAGGATCCTACGGAGCAAGAGGGGACTCTAATAGGACCCGAAGGTAGAGGATTGCATATTAAACCACAGCCTTGGATCAACACTCCCGGCACAGTGAGAGGGATGATAAAACCAGCGAAGAGTGTGAATAGATTTCAAATAGGTCTAGATAAACAAGTAAGAAATAGTGATATTAAAAGGGTGATACGAGGATTTAGGAGAGGTGAATAGCCCAGGACAGAAGGAGAGATACCAAAACTGTTCAGCACACATTTGGTCAAAGGATGATTTCACTTGTCTCTGACGAGTTGTAGTGTGGTGCTAAGAATGGCAGGGCTCACTGATGATGCCGACTACGATGGCGACGAAACATCTGGGAATGTACCAAGTCCACGGTCAGACCCTGGAAATTATCATGCATACTATGGACTCCGGACAAGGTGCGTTCCTATAGGTCTTCTTGCCAATATGACCAAGTTGCGAAAATAAGGTCAAACAACTTCTAATCTAACATGTTAAACGAGTGTAAGGGAAATTAAAACCATCACTAAGACAAGTTGAATCGCCTTCTTTTTGGTGGCGGCTCAACGCCCTCTCTCTTTCCATTTATCAATTAAGCATAAGTAGTTCTTATTCAATTTTCTACTAGCGTTCCTCACATTCAACATATTCCCTAATCTATTAATTTCAGTAGCTTCTCTTATCTTCCTCTTACCAGCACTTTTGTGCTCCTCTAGCTTTTGTCAAATGGACCTGCATGTTTCATAAACATAAGGCCGACCACAGTAGCACACAATCTTGTATCGGCCTGATCTAAATAATGGGTCCTATTTCTCTCTAAACGATGGCACTGTTATATTCCGAAGAAGGACATGGACTGTCTCTAAAATATAAAACGTTTGCCCTTTACAACTACAGAGATGGAGGCCCCGCAGCGAAGAAGAAACGGAACAAATAGTACTACCAATTGTCCTATTTCGAAACGGCCGAATACCATATGGGGGAGCTAACAATAGAAAGACAATCATTGAAATATTGCGTCAAATAGAAAATTCTAAACCCCGCAGACCACGGGGGCGGAGAAAGAGAAGGAAAAGAACGACCGATTTAAACAGAATGTTAGCTACTTGGTATATCCTTGCGTAGTTTTCCATGTCAACTTCTGATTGGACGATGCGGTGCCAAGCTTTGATTGGGCGACGCGAA